ATGACCCCAGCTGCAGCCACTTCCCCTAATCAGCTCAGCCTTCACAATGCCTGCTCCCTGGGCTATCTCAGGCCCTTCCAGGCCGGAGCAGGTGTCTACCTTGCTACATTGCCCTTTTCTGAACCTTTTCCAATTCCAATATATCTTTTTGAGATGGGGCAACCACATCTGCACGCAGTATTCAAGGTGTGGGTGTACCAGGGATTTATAAAGAGGCAATATGATATTTTCTGACTTATTATCTATACCTTTCTTGATGATTACCAACATTCTGTTTGCTTATTTGACTGCCGCTGCACATTGAGTGGATGATTTCAGAGAACTATTCACAATGACTCCAAGATCTCAAATTCACCTTATTTGTGAGATGATCTAAGCAAACAAATGATTATTATAGCCCTGTACATTAAGCAAATTAATTCTCAATGAGACTGTGATGTGTGCCCATCTTATTTTTGAATTATTCCTCGCTCCCCCTTAAGTTTGCATATTTTTGTGAGTAGGGCTTAGGTTCACCCCATTATAGAGAACTAGGCCAGCTACAAAAGGTAGATCCAGATCTGGGTTCAGATTCTGTACCCTGCACCCCAATTTTGGGGAGGGTGGTTTGGTGGCTCAGATGCAAGATCTGGTGGGTTCGGCCCATCTCTATTTTACATCAGTTTTCAGAGAAGGAATTAGATTCACAAAAGACTAAAACTGTGTAACCCCAAGGATATTTTGCACTTTTATAGCACCTTTTGTCTGAGGAACTCAATGTACTTTGCTAACATTAATGAATAAACCCTCACAACACCAGTGTGAGTAGGGGTATATTACTATCCCCTTTTTACAGATAGAGAAACTGAGTCACAGGGCATGTAAGTGACCGACTCAATGTCACACGGGAAATTTGTGCCAAAGACAGAAATAATACTCAGGTCTCCTAGTCCCAGTCCTGTGCTTTAGCTAAAGGTCATCCTCCACCGCCAAAGATTTATGCTCCAATCCAGCACTTGTTAAATCAATAGGTTTCCATGGGAATTCTAATAATTAAACCACTGCCTCATTTGGGTTGTTCTCTGTTTGGAATCTCCCTCTAATAGAAGTTTTCATAGTGATTTGTCTGATTTATGTTCTCAGTTGTCTAATTTCTGATTTGTCTGATTGCATAATGATTTCTCTGAAATATGTTTATGTTTCCTCCAGAGGAAAGGAAAAAAGTGGTACAGAGAAAACATATTAAAAATCATAAAAGAACCTACACACATGCTAACAAGCTTACCAGAGATCACCCTAACATGGACTCTGGTGGGAGCAGTCCTTCAATTTCCCACCAAGGGGATTCCTTGTGGTGACAAGTTCATTACAGCTTCAGCTCAGAACAAATACCCAGTCCTTCCAACCCTACCCTAAGGATTGAGGCCTTCCATGGACCAGGTGTCCTCTCCATTTGCTGGATCTGGAAGAACCCCCTGAGCCAGTTTAAAACCAGGCTGTTTATCCAAAAACCCTTTCTTTGTCTGTTGGTCCCTGGAGAATCCAGTTTGAACTAGTATATCCAAACCTCTTGGGGGGGAGTGGCTTCAAAGGGCTGATCACAGAAGAAGTACACTAGCATCCCCCAGTAGAGAAGATACATACAAAGCCACAGTAGCACATACAAACCTGCATTTGAATACAATGTGCCCAAAAGGCATTAACCCTAATTCCATAAGGTTTAATTTAATTCAATAAAGTTTGTTAATTTCATAAGATTTGTTCAGGATATTACATAGGGTGACCAGATTTCCTGATTTTATAGGGACAGTCCTGATATTTGGGGCTTTTTCTTATATAGGCGCCTATTACTCCCCAACCCCTGTCCCAATTTGTCACACTTTCTATCTGGTCACCCTAATATTACAGGACATTGTCAGTCTGTCATACAAGCCATATCCAATTTCCAGAATGAAGATGACAGAATAGCCCATTTGTTCATTTTATAGTTAAAAATATATAGTGTATTACACCACTGAGGGATATTTCTAGGCAGATGTCTGTTTTCAGTTTTGCAAATTTAAATAGTCTAAGAAGCCAAAGACTGAAAAATATAAAAGCAGTTGATGATACAGTCAGCAGGAGGGATGGAATTATGATTTGTGTGCACAGCCCCATACTGCAAAAACAAACTAATCACCATTTACCTTAATCTCTTAGACTGGGTGCCTGGTCCATCAAGGTTACATAGTGGTTATGAAGAATTTAGGACACCACCCGGAGCAGATGAGCCTCCCAGACTTGGGACTTTAAGAAAAGCATCAAATATTGCAATACTTATGACAAATTTGTGAGAGTTGGAAACACTGTAGACTCCATTTGAAAGGATTAATTTAGATCAGTGGTCACCAACTGGTAGATTGTGATCGACTGATTGATCCTGGAGCCTCTGACAATTGATTGCGATCTCCAGCCGCTAAAAGTCTGGTGGCGCAGCGGGGCTAAGGCAGGCTCCCTGCCTGCCCTGGCTCCACGCCATTCCCGGAAGTGGCCAGCACGTCCCTGCGGCCCCTAGCGGGGGGAGGGCAGGGGGTCTCTGCGTGCTGCTCCTGCCTGCAGGCACCACCCCCACAGCTCCCATTGGCTGGGAACGGGGAACTCTGGCCAATGGAGCTACAGGGGCAGTTCCTGCAGGGACGGGGCAGCGCGCAGAACCACATGCCCCCCAGGGTCATGTTGGCCACTTCCGGGAGTGGCATGGGGCTAGGGCAGGCAGGGAGCCTGCCTTAGCCCCGCTGCACCACCACCTGGGAGCTGCCCAAGTAAGAACCCCAACCCTCTGCCCTGAGCCCGCTCCTGAAGCCTGCACCCCAAACCCTCTTCTGCAACCCAATGCTCTGCCCCAGCAGAGCCCCCTCCTTCACTTAAACTCCCTCCCAGAGCTTGGATCCTTCACCCCCCCCCCGCACCCCAACCCCCTACCCCAGGCTCAACCTGGAGCCCCCTCCCACACTCCAAACCCCTTGACCCCAGCCCAGAGCCTGCACCCCAACCTCCTGCCCTAGCCCGGTGAAAGTGAGTGAGGGTGTGGGAGAGCGAGCAATGAAGCGAAGGGGGATGGAGTGAGCAGGACGCGGCCTCCAGGAAGGAGCAGGGTAGATCCTGGGTTGCACTTAAATTCAAAAATTGATCTTGTGCATAAAAAGGTTGGAGACCACTGATCTAGACAAAAGTCATTTTCCCAAACCAGCTTTGTATATAACTTGTGCCATTACTTAAGTCTTGGCAGAATTTGGTTTGCAAGTGCATTTCACATATCCTCTCCATTACCTCCGCATTTCTTGTTTCAGTAACACCTCCTCTCCCACATATACAGATCAACAATGTAACCTGACTTTAGGGTTACCATACGTCCATTTTTTCCCGGACATGTCCGGCTTTTCGGCAATCAAACCCCCGTCTGGGGGGAATTGCCAAAAAGCCGAACATGTCCAGGAAAAATACCGGCCGGGCACTTCCCCTCTTGCGGCGGCTCTGCTCCTCCCCTGACTCTTTGGCTCTGTTTAAGAGCCGAGC